ATCCTTGTAACTGTGTGTTAAGCAGATACCGAATTGTCTGTTGTGGTAAAATTAAGTGCATTGCCGAATTCCATTATTATTAAGTATATTTTATTTATTTTTATTTATAACAGTATTAGTAATATAATCTTCTTTCTAATAAATTATTATACATACTGTGAAGATATGTAGGACAGATAGAATTGTTGATCATTATCCACTTCCGAAACTATTAGACTCAGTAATAGATTTCTTAATTTTAATTGTTGAACTCTTTCTTTTTTGACTGCGACCCACATTCTTGACGGACCTTTGATGGACTACCGGCCTTTCTGCAATGAATAGGAAAATGTAATTGTGAATTTATATGAAGGCTTCGGTAATGTAAGTTGTGGATCGATTAGATTATGGAAAATGATTCTACACATAATTATATCTTCGGTAGATTGCGTTGAGCCGCTAAACTTGTAATTTTTTATGAAGTCCAAGCAATCGCATACAACCTCCTGTTTGTTGTTAAGCCGTTCCATAACCACAAACACAACAAGCTAGTAACAAAAGAGCCATCGTACCGGCCAGATGCACTTAGTTGGTTATTAGTAAGCGTTTGCGATGTATGTGGGTTGCAATCCCTTGTTTCCAGCTTAAACCTTGATTCCAAACACAGATAAGCTGGCTAAATAAGGAAAATGCAGTACATTTTCTAAACTCAATCTCCGCATTGGGTCGAAAGCAAAGTTAACGTGAACAGACGAGTTTCAAGTAAAATAAGTACATTTGCCTAATTCACTTTTCTTTTCACCTTTTCCCTTTCTATTTCACGCAAACCTCATCAGATATGAGCATATTTTATAAGACGTTGATCAATCATATTTGCCTTGGTAGATTCAATTCTTCTCTAAATCAGATAGAATGCAATCGGAGTTGCGGAGCAACTACTTCAAAATTAGCACGCAATCAGAAATGGCATCGATGGACATATTGCGTGTCAAACATAGGTATACGCGCTACGCTGGCAATCAATCGATCTCTGAGCCAGTCGCCAAAAGTTGCGGGTGCAGTGGCGTAACTTTTTAATACTGAGAACAGAAATGTTGATATTCAGGAACAAATATAACAAAGCTAAACGTAATGCCAAAGATAGACATATGATAATGTTATAAAATACTCATAACCAGAAGTCACATTCATGCATGCATTTTGCGCCTACTGTCATAAGATCACTCACTACGCCACTCTGGGTTGTGACAGATTCGGACTTACGGAATGATTTAGCATATCAACAAGAATATACAACTCAATTGTAGATGCGCTCACTATGTAATTACCTTGTCAGTCATCTATAATATGACTATACAAATAAAATCATTATCACAAAAAAGAATAATTATATCACTGTGCTACATTTTATTACTGTCTGATCTTTTATCCGACTATAGTCTAGTCTCAAACTGGGAGTTTTAGGTCAGCGACTGTAAATGTCAATCTCGTTACCCTTGTGATTAATTTTCTCTCAGAAGACCATCATTATCGAACTCTCAACTATCAGTTAATTTTAAATCAGGCGGACTGCTTTTCGTTTCACTTACCATTTTGCGTTGTCATCATCGGAACTATGAGTCCAACACTACGCTCAAAAGTGATATGCAACTCGGAACATGGAAATACTAAGTATATTTACCTCTACATAGAGATATGGAAAATATTTTATGTTTGCCAAAAATTAGAATTTGAGCAGTAGCCTGCAAACTAGGGAAATATCACATCTCGTTGCTTTTACAAAGAAATCATTCTAAGAACTCTTGTTATCATATAAAACAGTCTTCCAGATGCAGAACCTGGTTGACTCATAATATTATATAATTATACATTCTCACGTTCCCTCTAGCATTGGAGCGCACACATCTTGAGCTGTCGTTATACTGGTTCTAGGTGGGCTGAGAATCCACTCGGCTAAAAAATATCAGGGAGAGCGATTTTACTGCCCCCTGTGGTAATGTCGCAATGTAACTTGTTTTGGCTTTGCGATTAGATTTTATATAAACTTGAACCACCATGAGGACCTAACGCCTAAATACCCGTGGCTACAGGGGGGAGAGGGAAATTCTAGCAAGGGAATAAATGCCTATGTCACATGCACACATTGCCTTAGAAGTCCGTCGGGTGGTACACCCACATGGCTGCCTTTATACCTGTGAGTCGTCTGTTCTCGGTCCGCTCTAGAAGTCCGAGAGTAATTGAGGCTTCTTTTCGAGGCGCCAGACTCGGTACGTCTGCGGGTCGCTGATAGATGGTGCTGCTCTTTGTTGTCACTGGGGCTCACGGCAGCATGACGGTTCTCATAGCCGCCAACAGGTGCGGCGGCTTTAATTGCTGCCAGCAAGTGGCGTCACATTATGTAAAGCTTTCAAAACAATAAAGCCAATTATCTGTCCAAATCTTACCAATATCCCCAGTTTATACCTCAAACGTTGAAAGTCCTAAATGCCAAACCATTAGGAAACACTACCTAGTTGGTGAAGCGCTATAATTTCATATGACTCATAATCTTTGAGATATGCTGAACGATGGCCTTGAAAGGGGTTTTCGCATAAATATAATATTAAAAGCGATCATGAACATCCCAGAGCTATCCCTATATATCCCTTCAAAAGGGTTATCGCAGCCTTGTACTTAGTTAAGCCAACAGAAAGCAGTTCTTAGTACATTATTATGAGCGTTTTTCTTTAATCTGTTGGCTTTCCGAGGGTATTATGTTGTTATAAGAAATATTACAGGAAGTCTGCGAAGTTACAGAGAAATTTAATTTATACGTCTAACTAGACTTTTGACATCGTTAAATTGATTTTCCAATGGTATAAAATTTTGATTATGAGTTGTATCTCATAATGACTTTAATGGTGTGTTTAGAAAGTTTCCTAGCTTGACCTAACTTACCCAACCTTTACCTGACTCAACCTAACCGAATGTCATACGGGAAGCACTGAGATAACGTTAGGTCAAGTTACGTGGCCCTAGTCGCGTCCAACTTAGATACGATCACTTCACTTCAGTTTGCTCACTTTCTTACACGTGAGTGACTGAGATTTGTCATCACTTTAGCTTAAGTTGATTCTGTTTCACTGAAAAATCGATTAAATTGTGAAAAATCTGAGTCCTGAGTGTAGCTCCACGATAAATCAAAGCGGTATTTTTTTAAGGTTACATTCTGCTGAAGGTTAGTTCAGCTGTTCTTTTTGAACACTGAAGTGAGTCAGACATCCACTGATTTTTCAGCCGCATCTCTGTTGGGACATTCTCACTTCACTTGCGGGACGAACGCAACTTCAGTGAGCCCTACATAAGGTTTCAAAGCTATTACTATTTTGCTCTAAAAATTAAGGTATGATATGATAGCATATTCACCATAATTCAACGTGAAAGAAAACTGAAGTGTACTCAAATCCCATTTTCGCCTGTTAAAATAAACACAAGCGTGCGACGATCAAATTCTTGCGCTCCCATTGACTACAAATGCTTGGATAAGGCAGCGAAACCTAAATTGATTCGATGATTGAATCCTTGTGTTTGTTTTGATGCGGCGTAAACGCGATTTGAATATATTAAGAACGTCGATTCATTGTGAAGATACCAGATAAATTAATTTAACAGGATTTCGATGGAAATGACTAGCTATAAAAACATAGCATCTAGTAAAAATGTCTTCACCATGTATATGGTAACTGAAGATAAAAGTGGAAACAGTTCAAATTCATGTTTGCGCATAAAATTTATTCTAACGGGACGTATCAATTTAATGTCCTTCAATTTCCTTTTTTACGGATTTTTTTTATATAGCTAGAGGCAAATGATGTATAAAAGGTGTATTTTGCCTCATTTCTATCTGTGCATGAAGGATGACGACGGATTGTTATCCATAAAATACAGGTTATCCAAATTAAGTGTCCACCATTAGTAACTTTGTTATTAGTGAAAATACAAAGTTGTTTGAATTAGCAAACTAGTAGCATTTTTAACGCTGGTAAAAATGAGAAATAAAAAAAAACAATTGAGAGTCGTTATTTTGATTTTTTTCAGTAAAATAACATTTTTTTAAATGGAAACCCCTGTATATTATATTTTTTTCTGTTAAAGCATCAAATTTTAAACAAAAAAGCTTACAATAACTTTTCTCCTAGGTTACAAATTGTTGAAGTTATGGCCTCCAATCTGAAACAATTAAATTGTATCGACAAACTTTATTTTCAACATCAACTTATAATCTTACAAAATACAATAACAATTTTTTTTAAAGAAGATGCTCGAAAACACCACCTTGTTCTTCAATACATTTTTGGGCACGTTTTTCAACTGCTCGAACTGTCTTAAGTATGGTCCTACCATCTATCTGGGTTATCTTTTCCCTAACTGCAGTCTTTAACGCGTCAAGGTTATCGTACCTTCGCTTGTAAATTTGGTTCTTTAAGTAACCCCACAAGAAGTAATCAAGTGGGTTTA